TTCCGGATGGTGTGAAAATGATGGGACGGGTGGGCTGAGCCAAGGCAGAGGAATGGGCAATAGGGGGACAATGGTAGGGCTCTTGCATCTTCAGCAAGCGCGCAGCAGAAGAGACTGCCACAGGCGCCGTATTTCTCACCCAAACCTGAACTGCCAACATTTCTTCAGATGCGGGAGCAGAAGTCACGCCCTTTGTTTCTACTCATGGGTCTCCGCAGACACCTTTGGAATCTTGAGATGGGGTGGAGAGCACCACCCCAAAATGGCTGCCACCGGGGGCGGAGCCAAACCCAAGATGGCTGACGCAGGAGGTGGGACCAAACGGAATACCTCCCTCCTCACACCACTTGGGAAGAAGGAAATCCTGAAGGCAGAACGGAACGACACACTGGCTAAGAAAAGGCCGGGTGCTTACCAGCACGCCTGATCCTTCAGGGGCCGCCTTTTGTTGAAGCTGCGGGAAGCACTTTCGTTTGAACGAGGGCAGCCAATAATACGCCCTGCCCACTTCCTGATAAGCTCAGTGGGCACTAAGGGGAGTAGTAGTGGGCACCATATTGGGGAACCCTGCACTGCCGTCTTGCAGAAGATGTGAAGGAGGGAAAGGTCAAACGGTGAACACGACTGTGAAGGAGGCCTTGCCAGAAACTAGGGTTGCCACGTCCTCTCTGTCGGGGTGGGTAGGTGGGTAGGGTTGTCAGCAGGGCTTTTTTTGTAGAAAAAGCCCAGCAGGAACTCATTAGCATAATAGGCCATACCCAACAACAGAAACTCATTAGCATATTAGGCCACACCCCTGACAGCACAGCTCATTCACATATTAGGCCACACCCCCATGTTACCAGAAGTGTGGTCATCCAGCCACACCCACCTTTTGCTTCTTATTCTCTTTACCTTGTTTGTTGTCAAAACCCAGGACTTTTTGCATGTTAGGCCACACCCCCTAATTGTAGCCAATCCAAATGAGTTCCTGCTGTTGGGTGTGGCCTGTTATGCTAATGAGTTCCTGCTGGGCGTGGCCAACTTGGGAGCCAGCCGGAACTCTGTTCCTGTGCGTTCCTGCCCAAAAATAGCCCTGGTTGTCAGCTTTAGGTTGGGGAACTCCTGGAGATTTGGGGATAGAGCCTGGGGAGGTGGGTTATGATGCCATAGAATCACCACGAGATTAGACTACTGTAATGCTCTCTACATGGGGCTGCCCTTGTCGCAAATCCAGAAGCTGCCAGGCTCTTGATGGGTCTCCCTAGAGGGGAGCACATCCAGCCTGTGCTGAAAGCACTGCACTGGCTGCCAATAGCATACCGAATCTAAGGTGCTGGTGCTCACCTTTAAAGCCCTATATGGCCAGGGTCTGGCATACCTGAGGGCAGGGGTCGTTTCGTAGGAAAAGAGCTAGGGGAACTCATTAGCATAACTCATTAGCATATGCCACACCCCCTGGCATCACTGGAAGTGTGTCATAAGGCCACACCCCCTGAATGCGCGCGCTCGCTTTGGGAAAGGGGATCAAAGTGTAATACAAGCCTCCTCCGAGACTTGATCACACCAATCTCAACTCTCTCTTGGGTCTTGATGCCTGCCAGTCATCTCCCCTGCCTGGGGGAAGCCGCGTTGGACCAAAATACAGTCCAAACTGCTGTAAGGAACACCCGTCCACCCTGAGCACTTACAGGGTGCGTCAAATCGCCATTTTACCCCGACCGGAAGCAGGGGGTGGGGCTTCGTTGTGTGCCCCGCCCCCCGCACCTCACCCAAGGGAACGGCGATCCCCCACGTTCCCCCCCGAATTGACACCTGCCTGAGGGACCTCCTTTCCCCACACATACCCCAGAGAGCACTGTGGTCGGGGTCACAACATTGACTGGTTATTCCAGGCCCCAGGGAGGCTTCGCTCGCTGCAACCTGGGCCAGGGCCTTTTCAGTGGTAGCTCCTACCTGGTGGAACGAGCTCCCGGAGGAGATCAGGGCCCCGCGGGACCTTCTACAGTTCCGCAGGGCCTGCAAGACGGAGCTCTTCTGCCAGGCTTTTAATTAGGAGCTGCCACTACCACTACCACCAACTATTATCGTTAGTGACAACGGGGTAGTGGGTTGGCCCTGTATGAAGATCAAGCCACAACATCGCAATAGATCGATCACCGCTGAATCGGGACTTTGTGTTACATTTACAATTCGACTGAAGGACTAACATCACTGAGCCCTTTAATTGTAAAATATGGTTGTTTTTATCTTGTCTTATTAGTTTTTATATGTTTTTATATTTGGCACATGGTGCCCTAAACTGTGAGCCGCCCTGAGCCCGTTCGCGGGGAGGGCAGGATAGAAATATAATAATAATAATAATAAATAATTTAAAAAAAAACAGAGTCCACCCTCCAGAGCATCCATTTTCTCCAGGGGAACTGATCTCTGTAGTCTGGAGATGAGCTATGATTCTGGGAGGTCCCCAGGTCCCACCTGGAGGCTGGCATCCCCTCCTAGAACCTGAGAAGCTCAGGATGAAGAGAAGCGCTCCAGGCCCCGGGAACTAGGGGTTCTAGTCCGAAAACCGCATGCCAAGCAATGTTTTGCCCCTGCAGTCTGAAATAATTTGTTCTTAGCCAAGTACCGCTCTAGGGTCACTTAACTAGCTGGCCATGCGGGTTGATTGATTGGTTTTTATCGTTATATACTGCCTCGCAAGCATTACGGCTCTGAGGCAAGACATAAATAATGAAAATAAATAAACATTCAGACGCTCCAATTCCCTATCCCATCCTAGATCTGCCCAGAATATTATTAAACACTGTTTCCTGTACGGGCTTCTGCCCTCCAAAGACCAGCAAGATAATGCACGAGCATCAATTCCGATGAGTGTATAACTTGCCAGCAGTTCTTCTGATATTTTAAGAAAGCGGGGGGGG